CAATGGATTTTGTTTCGGGGTTACCCTTGACTTCGAACAAAAGAGATTCAATTTGGGTAATTGTTGATCGATTGACTAAGTCAGTGCATTTCCTTCCGGTTAAAATAGATTTCTCTATGGAAAAGTACGCATAGCTGTACATTAGAGAAATTATTAGATTACATGGAGTGACTGTTTCTATAGTTTCTGATCGAGACCCTCGATTTACTTCGAGATTCTGGAAATCCCTACATGGAGCGTTGGGAACTTTCTTAAACTTTAATACAGCCTTTCACCCTCAGAGTGATGGACAATCAGAGAGGATTATTCAAATCTTGAAAGATATGTTGAGAACGTGTGTAATTGAGTTCAAAGGGTTATGGGAGAAATATCTACCATTGGCAGAATTTGCTTACAACAATAGTTACCAGTCCAGTATTAAAATGGCACCCTATAAGGCTTTATATGGAAGAAAATGTCGTACGCCATTAAACTGGTATGAACTCAAAGATCGAAGTGTTCTTGGTCCAGATTTGATTCAAGATGTGGAAGAGAAAGTTTGGGAAATTCAACACAATCTTAAAGTGGTATTTGATCGACAAAAGTCCTATTCTGACCTTAAAAAAAGAGATTGAATTTGAAGTTGGAGATAAAGTTTTCCTTAAAGTATCTCTCTGGAAGAAAATATTACGGTTTGGACGTAAAGGAAAGCTTAGTCCTCGATCTATTGGACCTTATGAGATTGTAAAGAGAGTAGGACATATGACATATAAACTAGCTTTGCTACCTGAGATGGAAAAGATACATGATGTTTTTCACGTTTCAATGCTTCGAAGATATAAATATGATCTCTCTCATAAAGTGACACCAGAAGAAATTGAGGTTCAACCTGACTTAACTTATGAGGAAGAACTTGTTCAAATATTAACTCACGAAGTGAAACAACTCAGGAATAAGACTATTCTTTTGGTCAAAGTTCTATGGAGAAATCACGAAATAGAGGAAGCAACGTGGGAATGTGAAGAGTATATGCGGCATCAGTTCCCACATTTGTTCGTGTAATTAAAATTCGAGGATGAATTTTTTTAATGGGAGATTTGTAACATCCTCAATACCGGGGAAGTGATTAAAGTGTAAGATTTTTAAATTCAATGACCAAATTAAATAAATTGAAAAGTGAATGAATTAATTGAAAGATGTTGGTGCAGGATTAATTAGCAAATGAATGAAGAGTAAAAGGATAAAAGGGTCATTGAACAAGTGAATGAATAAAATATTGTTTGGGTTATCTTATAACCAACGTGGAGCACAATTGTGGGAAACAAAAGTTTCCAGACAATTCGTTCATCTTCTTCTCCCAACCATGAAGCACTCAAGCCAAGGTAAGTTGGATTTCTTTTGGTTAATTCTTCAAATTAAAGTATGGTTTTGATTCATGAAGCTTTAGGAAAGATGGAGATGAAAAATGTCATAAAAACTCAAAGATTTTATAAGTTATTAAGGATTAACTATAGGAAGTGGATAAGTGAAATTTTTAATAAGGATATATAAATGGATTTAGAAGTTGAATTTGACTTATCATAGGTGTGAATAATAAGTTATAAGTGTTAGAAATAAGTTTGGATTACATGGAAATTTCGGTATGATTCTTAGTTTTAAGATTTTGAATGAGATATGGGAAATTCTAAAGTATTGGAATGATAAAAGCTAGTTAAAATGTTTGTAGTTGAGTTTAATGATATAAAAGGAGTTTTATATGAGGAAATTTAATGAAAAGTTGTGAAATTTTCGGGTGAAACCAGTTTTTTATTGACATGTGCATCGATGCACTATGAATGGGCACCGATGCACTAAGACCAAATTTGAATGTGCATCGATGCATTAAGGGGTGCATCGATGCATTGGAATTTCAAACCTAATTTGAGTACCGATGCATCCATAGTGCATCGGTACATCCCTAAATGAAAATTGAATTTTTGGGTTCATTAAATTAGCTCAAGTTATTAGTATCGAATTATAAGGCTTAGGCTTCTTATAATTGTCTTGAAAATTATATTTATGTAGATATTTAGCCTAAACAAGTTCCGGAACAAGTGACAAGTAAGATCCATCGAGGAAAAGGCAAAAGAGATATAGGTGAGTGCATATGCATAACATGAATATAGTAGTATATTGAGTTCTAGACTTGTGATAAGTCTAGATTCAATATTTTGATACAAGTTCACATTTCATATTATGAAACATGATATGAGTTCATAATATATGCATTATGTGACATGAATATGCAGGAAAAGTTATATGAGCTATGTGATAAAGGTATGGAAATAATATGTCTACGCGATATAAACTATGTGAACTGTGAAAGCCCATGTTATGTAGATGAGAACTATAGGTATAGTTGGCATGCCAAGAGTAGAGGGTCTACGCGGTCATTTGGGACAAATTCTACGTGGTCCTTCGGGACATATATGTATTATTTGGAACATGTATGAGGTCTTTTGAGGCACCTACTTGATCCTTGGTAGATGTATATGATTCTTAAGGAATTTCTATGTGGTCCTTAGGGACATATTATATGGCACTACGGTGAAATTCTACGTGGCACTTCGGTGCATTTCTACGCGGTCCTTCGGGACAAATTCTACGTGGCACTTCGGTGCAAATTTATACGAGCTGTGGTGACAGCATAGTGCACAACCTCACAGTATTCACATACCTCAGTTTCTTAGTATTATATCATGGGATATTGAACCTATTGAACTTATTATATGAATTCATGATGGTTAATTTGATGAAATTATTGGTAAGATACATTGTTATGCAGATTACATAGATTGCTTAGATGAATTCATTACATTTCATCTTATTATGGCATCATTATTATATTTCATTGTTATTATTATTATGCCTCACTAAGTCGATGACTTAGCGTGTAAGTGTTTTACACGTAGGTACCGAAAAGTAGAGAGATTCATTATAAGCTCAGCAGAACAACATAACTCCACTTGAAGGTCAGATCAGAAGTAGATTAAATCTTATGTATTGTTATGGGTTAAATAGGTTGGCATATAAACAAAGTCGGTAAATTAAGTATTTATGCTCTAATCGAGTTTTATAATGTTTTAAACGTATTTATGTAAATATAAATGCATAGTAATGAACGGTTAAAGTTTTACGAGTTTTATGTACATTTTACGAAAATCACTGTAGCAGTGCATCGATGCACAATTTGCATTCAATTTTTTTGTGCATCAGTGCACTGTAGCAATGCATCGATGTACTATAGCACTGTTCACGGTACTGTTCTTACCGTATTTTACTGTTCATAAAATGTATATTTTCTTAAATTGCTTATAACGAACATAATTAAAATAGTATATTATTGTATTTCCTTAATATGAATTCAAATGTTTTGTTATTTTGCAAGAAAAGTGTTTTAAAAAGTCAATGTGACATCTCGGATTCGTATCAGGGTCGGGTACGGGTTGGGGGTGTTACAGTATGGGGTCAAGCTACAAGGTACACCAATCATCTGGAGTGACAATTCCAACGCCATATCGATGAGCGCAAATCCAATTTACCATGCTAAAACTAAGCATGTGGAGTTGGATGTGCATTTTGTGAGAGAAAATGTGGCAGCAAACAAATTGAAGGTGAACTATGTTCCATCTTCGCATCAGGTAGCTGATGGCTTCACTAAGGCATTGTCAAAAGATTATTTTCATATGTTTAGACAAAGGTTAGGGGTTGTGTCATTAAAAGAAGTTGAAGATGGAAGAAGCACGGAGCATATTGGATGGAGTACAGCATAAGCGTGCACAAGCATGCAGTGTGCACCAGCTTAGCAATGCTTAGTGAGCTCAGTTAGTTTACAGCATTAACAACCTTTCTGTTATAATTGTTATAGATGTTACATTTGCACCGTTATTTGTATATAAAGATGGGCAGTGTTCTTGTAAACGATGAATCAATAACAATACTTAGTTTCTATTTTCATTGAGTTTTCTATTAAATTTTATATATTATTTTTTTTACATTCAATTGTTTTCCTGAGTGGTTACAGAGTTTATTTTAGTATTATAACCTGCCATGTAATGATTTATATATCTAAGCTCTTCCTCTGTACGAGTGTTTCTTTTAAGAGAGAGAATAAAGCAATTGTGAGGCTTTTTCAATATGTTAATGATTCAGGTTTTATTTGCTAAAATTGAGTCCATAAATGCACTCGAATGTTAGGGTGTTTAAATTAAGTTGTTATCGTTTAATCGGTGTAATCGTTATATTTTATTAAGTTATATTTAATCATTAATTGGTGTAACATAACCATTAACCATTAAGGTTTAACGATTTCGGTTAATTGAGCTGTTAAAAATGTCAATTAACAATTACGATTACGGTTAATAAATTTTGATAAGTGATCAACTATTGGTTAACCGTTAATAAATTATAATTAATTAATTATATTTTTAGAGAATAGAATTAGAAATGGTTCCTCTTTTTTTTAATTATCATGTTTATCTTATATAGAAGTACATTAAATCAAACATATATAAAAATATATGATTTTAAATTACAAAATATAATTATACACATAAATTTTTAAATTATAAAAAATAAATATACCTCATAATATGTATATTTATATAAAATAAATAAATAGTTTACAAATATATATATATATATTTCTATCGTTGTATGTTTGATTAAATTTTGAAATTTTGAAATTATGTTATGTTTGAAAAAAGTTATAATAGGTTAACTATATGTTATGGTATAACCAAACTATTAATAATGATGAATTATTTCTTATTATCTAAATTATGATGAATAAAATTTAATAACTATTAACAGTTAAGTGATTGTTTCTGCTCCCATTCCTGTAAAAGAATAAAGATGTAATAATGATGTGGACTTTACTTAAAAAAGAATAAAGCAAGAGAGTGTTTGCGTAATTACTAAATTATTCCTCTCTCGGCTAAAGTTCTCCACTTTCTCTGGTAAGTATCTCATTGTTTCTCAACAGTTTCTGGGTTCTTAAATTTCCTGAGAATCAGCTAGGGTTCCAGATTTCGTCCCTGTTTACTTCTCCTGCCCCTCTACTCTTTTGAGTTTTTAGTTTATGGCTTCAAATGTTTAGCTTTTTTGTAGCATCATAAGAAATGGGTTTTGTATTTTGGCTTCAATCTCTGCATATTTCACCAGTTTAGTTTCTGTTTTGAGTTGGATATCCCTGATTTTCAACCCCGGGCATCCTCGAAATTGCCTACACTGCCACTCTTGCTCTTGCTAATGTTGCTCTCTCTCTTTTCCTTTAGCCTATCTCAGTGTTTTGATCTTGACCCTCGAGACAAAGCCTCACTGTTGTTGTTTAGGTCATCAGTTGGAAACCCTGACCATAGCTTAGCCACCTGGTTTGGCTCAAACTGCACCGGTTGGACTGGTATTTCTTGTGAAAACCGGACCGGTCGTGTTGTTTCTGTGAACCTGGCTAATATGAACTTGTCTGGTAGATTGCACCCTAGTTTGTGTGAACTCTCATTTCTTGAGTACTTGAATTTGTCTGATAATAACTTCAATGGCACAATTCCAACATGTTTTGGTTCATTGGGTAGTCTTGACATTCTTGATCTTATTCACAATAGCTTTGATGGAGTTGTACCTGAGGATATCGTGAGACTTGGGCAGTTAAGGGAACTTGTGTTGAGTGGAAACTGAGAACTGTTGAAAAATCAAGCATGAGCCAAAAACTTTCAACAATTTTGGTTGGGAATTAATGCACCGATTTCGGTGCTGTTTTTGTTGAAAATAAAAATGGAAATATTACAATTTTAGTCATTGCATTTTTAGGATATTTACAAGATTAGTCCTTAAGTTTCAATTATAAATATTGTATCCCATTTAGCTTCAAAATCATCCCAAATCCCAAATCATTTCTTTCTCCTAATACTAGAGACCTTTCTTGTGAGTAGTGAGTGTTTTGTAAACACCTGTAAATTTTCTCTCCAATAAAATATCTGTGGCAGTCCGGAGATGTAGGCATAATTGGCTGAACTCCGTTATCAATTTCGGGTATTATTTTTCCGCTTTTATTTCGCATTCTCATTAATCTGGTTTTAGGGAAATTACTCGTACTCGGTTTATTTCCCAACAACTGGTAATCAGAGCTTTTGGTTGTGAATTTTGTCAATTTTTTTGTGAGGTTACTATTCATTACTATTCACGTGAATGGTGAATTTCGTGAATAGTAAAAAAATTGTCGGCAATACAATTTTGTCGACGGAGGTGTTCTAATACACGGTGGTTCACGAAAATTGCCAAAAACGATCCAAAGAAGCCAGATTTGAGTGGGAGCGGTGGCCTTGAGAAACGAAGTTGATGAGCTCAAGAGGGAGCTGCTCATATGCAAGGGAGCAATGAGTGAATGGGGTGCGCTCAAGACGTTTTTGGAAGGACTTTGACCAGGGGCGATGCTCGGGGAAGAGCAAGGAAAGGCCCAGAGACTTTCGGAGGCCATAGCTGTAGCCGGAAAGCTGACTGAGCTTGCAGGTGACAAGCCAAGTATTGATATGTCATCCAGGCCCATGCCCAGAGATAGTGGCAATAGTGGGGGAGACCGGGAAAAGGTACAGCAGGGAGATGGTAGAGAAAGCTCTTCGAATGGCAAAGGTGAGTCATCGATTGTTCGTAGCCAAGGAAAGCCATCGACTGTTCGTAGCCAAGGAAAGCCATCAGGGAAGAATGGCAAGGCTAAGTCCGGTGCGAAGAAGAAGGGGAGCAAAGAAATATTGAAGTGCTACTTCTGTGATGATCCTTATTTTATTAGAGGATGTCCCGAGAAGCGTCGTCTTACAACCATCATGAAGAGGATGGAATAAGGAGAAGTAGTAGGAATTGGTGTGGTTGCAAGTGTTAAATCTACCAAGCCAAGGGTGCAAAGTGATCGAGTCTGCTCAGAGTATGCCAGGATAAAGGCGTGGTCCAAGTTGAGGCGTCTCAGGCATAAAGGGACATGTAACACCCCAACAGTTTGGGATGTTACAAGACACTTAAGGAGTATGTGAGCCGCTTCAGAAAACTCATGCTCAAAGTCCCAAGTTTGAATGAAGAAGATGGAATCTTCACATTCATGTTCGAATTGAAGCCGTGGGCAAAGAGAGTGTTGGAACGAAGGGAAGTCAAGGAGTTGTCTAAAGTCTTGACAACCACTGAGTCCATCAAAGAATTTGGAGTCAAGAAGAACAAGACTTCCAAAGCAAAGTCGAAAGCCAAGGATGGCGGTAAGGAATTCGGTGATGAAGGTAAGTCAGAGGATGAGGAATATTGTTCCTCGAGTGGCAGAGAAAGTTCACTCAATGATGAACCAGATGGTAAGTCTGGGGAAGATGTGTGCAGTCTTCGCACAAATTCAAGTGCCAAGGATACTAAGCCAAGGATAAGAGTCGAGCAAGCGAGGGGGCGCAGACTTAAGACGCTAGAAGTGTTGCAAAATTACCAGAGGGGAGCCGAGTCATCCAAGGTGATGGATGAGCCCAGGATTGAGTTGTCCAGAGAAGTGGATGAACCCAGGATCGAAGAGGCGTTGAGACTCGGCTCAGTACAGTTTGTTACTGCCAAGGCTAGTAGAAGCCAAGTGCAAGAAGAGTTGTCTGTGTCCAAGGAGTTTGCCGAGCATGTTCGTGTAGAGAACATGGCTTCAGAAACCATCTCAAGAGAAGGGTCAAAACAAGGGTTTACCGAGGATGTTCAAGTGAGGAACAATCCTTCAAAGACTAGTGGACAAGAGTCGAAGGGAGCCAAGACGTTGAGGGACAAGGTAACCACGGAGAAACTGCCCAATAACAAGTGGGTTTACAGGGCGGTGACTACAGACAAACTGAAGTTGTGTTTAGCTTCAGTTGGCATGCTAGAGTAACAAGACTGCAAATACTGTTGCATTGATCGATGTGTGAAGACATATTAAAATCAGTCTTCAAGTGGGAGATTGTTGAAAAGTCAAGCATGAGCCAAAAACTTTCAACAATTTTGGTTGGGAATTAATGCACCGATTTCGGTGTTGTTTTTGTTGAAAATGAAAATGAAAATATTGCAACTTTATTCATTGTATTTTTTATGGTATTTACAAGATTAGTCCCTAAGCTTTAACTATAAATACAATATCCCATTTAGCTTCAAAATCATCCAAAATCCCAAATCATTTCTTTCTCCCAATACTAGAGAGTTTTCTTTTAAGTAGTGAGTGTTTTGTAAACACCTGTAAATTTTCTCTCTAATAAAAGATCTGCAACAGTCCGGAGATGTAGGCATAATTGGCTAAACTCCGTTATCAATTTCGGGTATTATTTTTCTGCTTTTATTTCGCATTCTCACTAATCTGGTTATAGGGAAATTACTCGTACGCAGTTTATTTCCCAACAAGAACTCGGTGGCATTTTACCGCGGTGGATTGGTAACTTCTCGAGCAATTTGGAGAAACTTGATTTGAGTTCGAATTCGTTTCATGGCAAGATACCTGATTGCTTATTTCATTTGAAGTCTTTGAGGCATTTGAATCTCGGAGGCAATGATTTATCGGGCAATGCTCATGAGTTTTATCAATCATTGGAGTATCTCAGTCTTCCTTCGAATAAGTTTTTTGGTACTTTGCCTTGTTTTTCTGCTGTTACAAAGAGTCTAACTTTTCTTACAATGGCTAATAATTCTCTTGTTGGAGGAATACCTACTTGTATTGGCTCTCAGGAAGTGTTATCTTATCTTAACCTGTCATTTAATCACCTGAGTTATGGCATATCTCCGAGACTTGTGTTTACTGAAAAGTTTCTTGCATTGGATTTGAGTTTCAATGATTTATCAGGCCCTCTTCCGGGGAAGATTACAGCGGCAACAGAAAAATCAGGCATTCTTTTTTTGGACCTCTCTAAGAACTAGTTTTCCAGTAAAATCCCATTGAAGATCACCGAGCTGAAAAGCTTGCAAGCATTGTTTCTTTCTCATAATCTCCTCACGGGAGAAATTCCAGCAAGGATTGGAAATTTGACTTATCTCTAAGTGATTGATTTGTTACACAACTCATTGTCGGTTCGATTCCATTAGATATTGTTGGGTACTTTCAGTCATTTGCATTGATACTGAACAACAACAATCTTTCTGGTGAAATTCAACCCGAGCTCGTTGCACTGGACAGCTTGAAGAAATTGGATGTAAGCCACAACAAGATTTCTGGTGAGATCACATTGACCTTGGCAGGGTTAAAATCTTTAGAGATTGTAGATTTGAGCTCCAACAACTTCTCTAGAACATTGAATGATGTGGTATTACCTTATGGTGACACGCAACATCACCGTTAAATTTTTAATGATGGGTAACAAAATGGAACATAAATTAAATGTTACGTATGATTTTTAAAAAATATAAAGTTTGGATACCAAAATGGAACAAAATAGTTTAGGTACTAAACATGTAATTTACCAAGCAATTTTGATTAAAATGAAAATCCTTTTCAGTCTAAAATGAAGGGGGGAAACAGTAACTATCATTAGATTAAACAAAAATATTACTAATTCCCGATCATCTACATGCAATAAATCCTTATTGTAGGGTGAAAAAGAAGTGATAAACGGCAAATACACACGACCAAGACTCTAAAAAGTGCAATTAACTGAAATTTATTGGAAAAAAATAAAAGAGGAGAATGCAGTAAATTTTGCAAGTCTGGCATTTAAATCTAGGGTAAATAACATATTTAGTCACTTAAGTCTTACTTTGGTTCCATTTTGGTCATCCAACTATTTTTTTTTCAAAATTATTGTCAAAGTTACGTTTAGGTTTCATTTTGGTCATCATTCGTTAGAAAATTAACAAAACTGCCAATGTATTTTTTTCAATGGTGGCGTGACATTACCTTATGGTGACACCTCAGTATCATCGTTAATCTTTTAACGACGGGTGACCAAAACATAATGCTATTGATGATTTTTATAAACGTGAGTAAAAGGGAACCAAAATACACAATTTACCTTAATCTATTGTGAACCAAATTCAGCTCCTGTACCAGCTCCAAGCATTTTTGTGTCTGTTCAGGCTGGGTGTTGCGATGACAAGTATGGTACAGCAGCAAAAAGTGGGAGAATCAGTTTTAATAATTGGTGGAAGGAAGGCGTCCCAAAAATATGGAATGAGTTCATAATTGGATGCTTTATATTACACATTGAAAACTCACCAGAGAAGATCCATTAGAAGAGGTTTGGATATTTATTTTGCATCCACAGTCAGGTCATTGATGCTTTCATTCCAAACAAAAGAAATACAAAGGGGTTTATTTCGGGTTCATTCGCTTCGCAACAATTGAAGAAGCAAGGAAAGCGATCTCAAAGATGAATGGTTCTCACATTGGTGGCAACAAAATTGGTGCCTCTTTGGCTAAATACAACCCTCGACGGTCTTATTGGAGAAAGTCCTCACCAGTTGTCCACCGAAAGTCTAAGATGGAAGTTGTTACGAGGAATAATCTTTATGAAGTAGAAGGTGTTATTGAAGAAGATAAACTTCAAGTGTTGGGAAACTGTCTAATGGGGTGGTGCAAGAACTTTATCAAAATCGACAATCTTGCTAGCCAAATGCAAGCCAAAGGCCTCGCTGGTTTCTAGTTAATGAGAGTTGTTGGGAACGTAGTTCTAATGATATTTGAAGGCCTGCTATGTTGATAAATGTGAAGAATGAAAAAACAGAGACTCTTGCAGAGTGGTTTTCCAAAGTTGCTACTTGGTCGAATAGTCTGGTTGTAGAGAGCCATCAAGTGTGGATAGTTTGCGAAGGGATTCCTTTTCACGCTTGGAATTGGGGTACTTTCAAGAACATTGTAGCTAGGTGGGGAAATTTATTAGAAATAAACGAAAGCTCTCAATTTCCTTTGTCTTTTGATCGGGAAAAAATTCAAATCCTCAAAAAGGCTCAAGTGAGAATTGATGAGTCGTTGGATTTGAAGGTCGGTGATAATTTTTTTAAAATCCTGGTGCATGAAATTGAGCCTTCCTTCAAACCAAAGTCTTGGGTCCCTGAGTAAGGTGATGATTCATTAGAACTTGTTTCTTCTTTTGGGGCTTCGCCGGACAATTCTTAGTCAGGGACGCCGATGTTTTACTCTAGTTCAAAATGCTCCGATGAAGATGTTGCAATTGAAGCTACCAGCCTAGAAAAGGTTTCACTCCGGAAGAGTGCCAAAGGTGTTGATAATTTGAGTAACGAATTTGATGAGGATGATATAATTAAAAGCAGGTCCGTTGGTGGTGGGTTTGGATTGTCTTCATCCTCTTGTTTAGATTCAGGGTTTTATTCAACGGAGGGTTTGGATCATTCGGACTTAAATATCGTGGAGCTTTGTGTTGATAAATCAGTTGATCCTTCTAATGGAATCAGCCCCCGAGCCTCGAAAGATGTTCTTATGATGGGCCTCTTTTCTTCTAATGGTCTATCCGATGATGCAATACAATTACGGGAAAATTCCTCAGCAGTGTTCCCTCTCCTCGGGAAATTAAGAAGAAATCGTGTGGTTAAGAAATGCAAGCAAAAGAAAGAAGTTTAGAATTAAGTTGCAAGGACATATTGATTGATTGGAAGGAAGTGTGGTTTTGTTCCATTGATGATTTCTTTGTTTTTTGTGGCTTTGGTTTGTAATGGAGCTTTCAGTGGTGTTCTCTTCAAAGACTGTTGATTTCGTTTTTATGGTTGTAGGTGTTGGGTTGATTTCGTTTTTTCATTTTTATTATGTCCTTAGGTGTTGGGTTGTTTTTCTTTTGTTGGAGGTGTAACTTAGGATTAGGGTGATTATCTTTGGGGCTTTATGGTTGAGGTGGTGCGATTTTTAGGTTATTTTGGTTTTTTGTAATGGTCTTTGTCCTTGTATGAGGGTATTTCGTGTTGTCATATGTATTGAGTGTTTTATTTAATGAAATTTGAGGTACTCTTTTCTTTCTTCCAATGTTCGGTAACATACTTGTTAGTATGTGGACGAATAAGAAGGGGGTTTTTAATGAGAACTCCAGCTTTTATAAAAAAATTGTGAACCTATAAGGTAAAGGAGGCAGCTAGTAATAATTCAAGGCTGGCCTGCAAGTTCAATGTCAATTTCTAGTTTGATGCCACAATTTTAGTGTCCCTTCTGATGTGTTTCAACTTATCTAATGAAAGAAATAAGTTAAATGCAATAGTAATAATTAATCATGACAAGGACTTGTTGCGTTGCGTAATAAGAGTGCTCGCCGTTATCAAATAATAAAGTAGGCATAATAGAGTATGAATGACACAAAGACTAAGGAGGTGTTTGTTTTTACAGAGGTAAAAAGTCTGCAGTCTACGGACCACATTTGCAAGCATATGCAGCAGAAGATGTGGACCAAAAGTCTACAGTCTGCAAGAAGAAGACTATTTGTTTTTTAACGTCTGCATACTGCTAAAATAAACTGATTTTTTTAACTTAAAATAGTTTTACAATACTGAAATTTAAATAATTTTAGTTTTATAATAATGAAATTTAAATAATCCATACAACTACAATAATAATTTTTTTTTAAATAAATCAATCCATATTTTAAAATAAATCAATCCATATTTTAAAATAAATCAATCCATATTTTAAAATAAATCAATCCATATTTTAAAATAATTTTTTTCTTATTTTAAAATAAATCAATCCATGTTTTAAAATAAATCAATCCATATTTTAAAATAAATTAATCCATATTTTAAAATAAATCAATCCATATTTTAAAATAAATCAATCCATGTTTTAAAATAAATCAATCCATATTTTAAAATAAATCAATTCATATTTTAAAATAAATTTTTCCATAATTTAAAATAAATCACTCCATATTTTAAAATAAATCAATCCATATTTTAAAATACATTTTAAAATAGATTTAAATAATTTTAATTTCTTTGAAGAGGTTTGAAGACCTTTGAAAACATAAAACCATGTATGCACCAAGAAGACCTCACGCAAACATTAGAAGAGTTTCTGTCTTCTAAAAAACAAACGGTCTGCGAAGCCCAATGTCTGCGCGTGGTCTGCGCGGCGGAGACATAAGAGCTTTGCAGACCTGACACAGTAAAAACAAACACCACCTAAGATTTAAGAATAAGTATTGCAAGCATGTTAATAAGAAAACGATGATGCGAAGTGCAAGTAAGAATAGAATGGATTTAATGAGACTACATGCAACGGCACGAGAATGAATCAAAGGTAATAGTACTCATGCAGCATTAGTTTCACTTCTCTTGAATCTCATAACATCTGATCTACAAGACGGACAAATATGATTAATTAAAATAACTTTAAACTACATTATATTTTAAAAACATCTGAATAAATTCCTAACATCAACGTAATAGGGATATTTAAAATAATAGTCCGTCTACTAAATTTAGGGAATTGCCCTTTTTCTCGAACAAGGAAAAGGGAAAATAAATGAAACGTTTTTGTTTGGTTTATCGGCAAAAGCAACCGTCTCATCTTGCTCAATGGGTTTGTAACATCCTTAATACCGGGTCAGTGACCAAATTGTAAAATTTCAGAATTTGGTGATTGAAGTAGAATAGTTGAATAGTTCAATGATTTATTTGGGAATATTTCCGGAAAGTTATTAGTAATTATCAAATGAATTAAAGGGAAAAATGATCAATTGACAATAAAAGATATTTTTATCTCCTTTAATAGGAGATTAAAACGTGAGAAGATGAAAACATTCCATCTTCTTCTTCCTCCTCCCCATGGAAGTTAGGCAAAGGTGAGTTTTCTATTTTGTTGATCATTTGTTGAATTAAATATTGGGTTTTGATCATTAGATGATAACTAAGCTTAAGGAAAGCTTAAGTTATCTTAAAATCAAAAGATAAAGGAGTTATGACAGATTAAAGAAAATGGTTTTGAAGTGAAATTTTGAATAGGAAGGTTTAAATGAATTTGGAGGATGAATTTGACTTGTCATCTATGAGAATAAGAAGTTAGAAGTGTTAGAATTAAGTTTGGATAACATGGAAAATTTGGTATGATTATTGATTTCTATATGGAGAATAGAATTTTGAGGTTTAAGATGAAAT